TAAACAGGGAATAGCAGAATTTTCATGTGCCAAGAGCATAACAATGGCCATGGTCAAGAAATCAAAATAGTTAAATATTGTGAAAATGTTATGTCAGTACCTCCATATCAAATATCATAAGATATCACATGACAACACTAAAATCTTATAATATTGGCAAGCTTGTCAGAGTTCAAAGCTTTCAGTTTTCGAAGTTGGTTTTTCTTTAGGTGTTGTGGGTGACATCTTTGGCATCCATAACTGACTGCTGCTGATTCCTCTTGTAAATACCCTGGCAAACCTCAGTTCAATGTCCAGCTTCAGCATTCCCTTAATCTAGTGTTTCTCAACCGTGGCAACTTTAAGATGTATAGACTTCAACTTTCAAAATATCCCAGCCAGCATGGTTTGCTGGGAAATTCTGGCAGTTAAGACTACACATCTTAATGATGCCAAGGTTGAGAAACATTGCTCTAATCACTTTGAAATCCTGTTCAAGTATTTAGAATCTATCAGCTAAAGTACTCAATATTTTTTCTGAAATTTAGAAAGGCATAAAGATACATTGTCATATTAGCTTATCAAATTGCTGTCATGCTGACTTTTCTATTAATGAGGTTATAATAGCAATTTGGAGTGTACAATGGTAGTTGTGTCCATTGAATTTCACACATATTTTTTTTTTAAAAAAATATAATGTTTATTATTTTTTCTCTGGGAAGCAAACAATTCTGTATATTTTACTATCTTAAATCTCTGTTAGGTTACTTTTGGTTGGCACTGAATAAAATCTAACTAAGAGTAATCCCAAAATATGTCCATCAAATTCATCATGCATTGCAACATGAAACCTGACTGAAATAATTGACTACATAAGAATGAGCAAAATTATCTAAGAAAAAATAGGCTGGTTTGTGGATGTGATTCACTTTATCTGTTACCTTGGTTTGTAGTTTGGCTATATTCATGGGAAAAAGAATGTGAAAAAAGGGTGTCTTCTAAAGACAGCATCATGTTATGTTTCTCCTTTTACAGAAATTTATGTTACACGGTCATGGGCTAAACTTAATGTAACATGATACATTAAAAACTGCACATCAGGATTACAAAATGTGTCAGAACAAAGAGGTGTTATATCAGATCTCTCTTCATCTGTGAGGAAAGCCCTTTAATAAATCATTCACAAAAGAATGCATTCACTCTTTAATGCATGTACATAAATTCCATTCTCCTTTGCTACCCCTCACCCTGTTCTGAGAGTCTCTATCAAGTGGAAATGAGCTAGGAAACAATAATGATGATATTTTCACCCCACACATAGAAATAGCACCAATCTTTCTGTGCAGGCACAAATGAATATAGATGTACTGTCTAACTCACTAAATGGGAAATTCTCATATTTAAACAAATTTAGATGTTCTCCCTAATACATAGAAGCTACTTTCCTGTGCTGATTAGTTCTTGACTTGTATTTTTTTTTGTACTCCTACAACACATGTAAGAGTCAGTGGAAGGGGAATTTGTGTTGATATTGCAGGAAATGTTTGTTCTATTAGCTCTTTCCAAATAATTGCCCATTTACATATTCACCCAGCAAAGCTTGTACTCATAAACAGCTTTTGTGTGGCTAGTAGAATGTCTAAAGGAGACCTGATCTCACTAGAAAATGAATACATTGGTGCACCAGACCTGTGAAATATTATGGCTAAGCCCAGTGCTTTTTTTCTAAAAAAAAAAAAAAAAGTGCCGGAACTCACACACGTCATACAACCCGCCTTGCCTACCCTACAAGTTTCCATCCAAAAAAGGTGCCAGAACTCTGTTCTGGGCGTTCTATGAGAAAAAAAGCCCTGGCTAAGCCATACAGTAGTGATTTTGGAATTGGCTTGGTAAATTGTATGAATCTAGTCACTGTGCCTTGCAAACAAGATTTATAGTTTATGGAGTTTGTAAATTGTTGGACAAATTGTTGGCAAAACAAATTTTTCAGCCATCTTAGAGAAATGAGGCTGTAATTAGGGTGGATTTCATTACAAAGAGTTCATGTAAATAAAGGGAAATTCTGTCCCTACAAGCCACATTGCTGACATCTTCACAATAACTGTTTAATCTGTTTTAAGAGGAATGCTAACAACACTAGTTTCTAAAGATTCCCATGAGAACAGAGCACATCCAGAAACAGAGACAATCCTTTCTACCTCTAAGATGGAAAGCAAGTTTGGAAGTGACTGGTTGGCTAAAACTTCAAGCAAAAGCAATTCACTTCCCATTCCTACTGAAGTCAGATAGAGGGGAAAGAGGTTTTTCTGTGTTTTCTCTGACAGCAGCAACTAGCTTTAGAAAAGGAAAGAAGAGAATTTTTGTGAGATAAAATCTTCCAGGAGGCAGGAACAGAAAGCACACCAATTTTAAAATGTATCAGATAAGTAATTTTAAAATGTATCAGATAAGTAGATGAAGCAGAGGAAGAATTCAGTTTTATTTTGTATATACTCAAATCAAGCCTTATTTGGTTTTCTTGAAGAGAGTCTTTCTCTTGCTCTATATACTTATCTCTAAATTGTATGGCAGTTTTCTGTTACTGTGTATACAAAAGGATTAAAAGTGTACAGTAATAACAAAAGGGCTCTCCCTTTGGAACCATTGGACCTAATTACCACAGTGTTATTTTCAGTGGTTCTGGAAAATTCTCTGCCCAAAGATTAAATAGGTAAATAGTTAGACCGAGCTGGATAATGTCAATCAAGGGGTTTCCAAATTGTTTCAAGCTGTGGAGCCTATTAAAGGTAAACGTTTTCCCTGTCCAATCATTTCCGACTCTAGGAGGTGATGCTGATTTCTGTTATATTAACCCCAAAATAAAAAAAAAAAATCCAAATGCACCGGTCAAGAGGGGTGTGACTTCTGACTATCACTTGACAACAGTCATGGTTATGGTGTTGAAAAAGCCACAAAGAATATGTGACTTTAATGCACGTTCATTTTTCATCTGATGCTAATTTTGTATGTAGCAAAGGTGGTCTGGAGACTGTTGTTGCTATTTTGAACTTGTGGTTAAAGCCAGGCCTACCTTACTGTACAACAACCTATCACAGGGGGTTGGACTCGATGACCTCCAAGGTCCCTTCCAACATTATTATTATTATTATTATTATTATTATTATTATTATTATTATTATTATTATTATTATTATTATTATTATTATTATTAATGCATTTGAGGTGCTTTTGAGGGCAGGAACCTTTACACAACCTCATAACATGTTCTTTTTATTAGAAGAGGCCAGAGTTGTGTTCATAGACAAGCTCTAAATTTCCCAGGCTGTAAGTAGTTTTTCAATAGTATAGTTAACTGGAATGAATACGTAGGCATTGCTTCATTCTGCATCAAACACAAGGAGATACTGCCTTCTTAGTCCAACCAGAATAAATTGTTCTCAGCACTGTTGTCTCCAGCTCAACTAAAACTTTCTTCAGAAAAAATGTTGTGATAACTTTTTAAATCTTTCTGGCTGCCAGAATGAATATAATTTAACGCAGGAATTTTCAAACTATGTTCTGCAGAAACCTGATGGGATTGTATAAGAAACTAATGGCAAAAGGGGGGTGCAAGTTTTCTAAAGCAAAGTGGAAAGGGAAACATTCAAAACCCACCTTTGGGAAGCCACTTGTACTTATGGCAACTGATTGTCCTTTTATGTGTCTGAGAGGCACATAGCAGGGATCTGAGAATCTCCCCCCCTTCTTTCTCTTGTTCCACCACCTAGAAAAAAAAATGAAAGGTTTTCCTGCTTTAGGGAAATTAAGCTTGTCCATCACTGATTGTCATATCATGCTGTTCTCCAACATGGCACCTATGGGCTACGATATGGTATCTACCATGCTTTATTGCTTTTAAAGATGAAATGCTATAATGCCAAGCACCATCCTCTAATCCAATTATACTTCCAGAAATGCCTCTCAGATCACACAGGATCCATAAACATTGTTTTTTTTTAAAAAAAGATATTTGCAGAGTATAGTTTTGAAGTGCCTCTATCTGTTTTGAAAAAGAAACAAAAGTAAAATAGGAAATTGAGGGAACATGTTGGAGATCTATAGTTATAAGAAAGTGTAACACTCATTTAATTTCTTGTACCTATGTCTAATTGATCTTGGTTAATCTGACAAAGCTAAACAGGATTGGCCCTTGCTAGCATTTGTATGGAAAGGCAGGGAAACCTAAGGCTGCTGCAGCAAATCTTGGTAGGGATTAGACAAAAAGCTTTGTCCATAAATAGAAATCATGACGAAACTGGGAGGAAAAATAAGGAATACAACCCCTTAAAGTTGCCAAGATTAAATATTCTGGACTGTAGTGTTATAGTCTAAAGCTTATTTGGAATCCCACTTCACAGAATCAAACTAGACATCAGACTAGATATTGTAAAATTGTGCTGTTATGCTATACTTACACTCTCTCATACAAGGAACTGGTGGAATTTTGATACTCCTCCTCTATTTACAATTATCAGGATTTTCAAAAGTGAAAAAAAACGGAACAAAGAGACAGCTTTTATAAACAAGACAATTCTAAATACACCGCTTGCAATTCTTCAGTTATTGCTATTGCCAACATTAAATAATTCTATTTATGTATGTGCCTTTAGGAGTCTGCTTATAACTTTAGGTTGCTGTTTAATGAATTCCATCACTGAAGCATGACTAACAAACCATGATTCAGCAAATAACGGCTTAGTATGAAGACTTTTGTTTTCTCTAAGGCGATCTATTAACACCGTAGCGGGGTGAGATTTGGGACCTACAACATCAAACTGCTCTTCGGCAAGAGAGTCGTTTCTTTTTCATTTGAGCAGAACGAGATTTACAGTAGAACAGCTCCATGGGGGAAGAAGTTTATTTTCCAAAGATGATCCATCATTTCCTAGCCCTGCCTTTAAAGTCTCCCCCCCCCTCTTCAGTGGTACAGTCCACTGAAAGGCGGAGTTAATTCTAGGGAATACGTTTATTTCGCGCATGCGCTTTACCCTTTGAACGGTGTTGGGCTGTTGGTCTTGGCGTTCCTCTTCTCTTGTTACCTGTTTTGTGTTAGCATTTCGTTGCGTCGCTGCCGGCCGCTTTCGCTTACTGCCCCAGTCTCTCCATGGCCGACCCTCGCGTCAGACAGATCAAAATAAAAACAGGCGTAGTAAAACGGTGAGTATCCGACGAGTAGGGCCTTGTACGGAGGAGCGTGGCGTGGGAAGGTGAGTTGCTGTTTCCAGAAGGAGAATGAAACTCGCAGGGCCGCGATTTAACTGTCTTCTATCGACGCATTGGCTGGAAGAGGAAGCATCAGCTTGGTATACACTTGTATGTTATGTCGGGTTTTTTTTTTACTCAAGAAGAACACTTTCCCTGCGTGCAACAGTCCTGCGAGAAAGGTTAAATCAGTGTTTCTCAACCTTGACCATTTTAAGGCATGTGGACTTCAACTCCCAGAATTCCACAGCCAGCATTGCTGGCTGTGGAATTCTGGGAGTTGAAGTCCACATGCCTTAAAATGGTCAAGGTTGAGAAACACTGGGTTAAATTAAGAGATGTTGGTTGGTCGGTGGCCGAGTGTGGAATTGAACCTGCCGCTCCCATTTCTAGGTTTGTTCGCTAAGCAAATTTGGTTTTTTCCACCTTTTACCCCAAAGCCAGGACCTCTTTTCATTGGTAAATAGGCAGGTTCTACTTAGCAGCAAGAGAATATGCAGTTTTATGCCTGTTCATATACTGTTTTGTAGACACAGCTTTGTGATTAGGGACACCTTAAATACATATTTTTTCCCCCGATTTAAGAAGGTAAATGGAGCCTTTGCTAACCTATAACTGTCTGGATATACTGAACTATCATTTTCACCCACTGATTGTGCTACCTTTATATGGAGGAAATGTTACTCCAGTGTATCTTAGCTAGCTGATCCAGAATGCTTTTTCTACTTAATACCTGTATTAAGTGTATATTCCAGATTCTTTACCCACAGTTACTAATGATGATTGGAGTACATCCACTAAAGTTGCTTGATTCACAAATGTCAGTTGTAGTCTATCCACACTTTTCCTTGATATTTGCTACAGCTAACTGGTATTCTATGATCATTTAAATGTGCATAAGGGTCAAAACATATTTCCAGCTGTAAATGAAGTTTATGTCCAAGACACATGTAATAATAGTTTTATTGCTTAGAGTAGCACATCTACATATGAAATGTACTGTGTGGATATTGTGCATACACACGTGTAATAGCATTCACTGTTTTGTAGATCTCATGCAGTCGCAAAGACAACTTCTTTAGCTGGTAGAGTGGGAAATCATTTCAAGATAGCAAGGGTTAGCTTTGCTGAGAACATGTGACATACAAATATGATAAAGTAATCTTTACGTATTTACTTCATACCCATTTTTGTGAAGAGTAAAAGATGCTGATTGAGCATTTGCTAATCTATATCCAGTTCTGTTTTCTTTCAGTTTAGGCTGTTTGACTTCTATCCAGAATCTTCTTATGGCTACTTGCAGATCACTTATGTAATTGTGTGTTCTGGGTGGGGTGGGGATGGGTCAGACAGAAATGGGGTTACAGTTAAATAACATAATATTGTCATGAATTCACAGGCTTTTATAATGGTAGTCTTAATATTACAGCAGGTTATGAAATGGCTCAATGATCAGTTAATGAATCAAAATTTGGTTTGCAGCAAAATGTTGCAGTTTTGTAGGCTTAACATGTCATGGGGAAGAAAACATGTTTGTCCAGTTTCTGTAATGCCTTTCCTGAGAGACATGTACTATCAACTTTCTTATTTCAGCACCAACAAAAATGTATTTAATCCCTAATAATATCTGATAGTACAGGGGCTCCTCTTAACAGTCCTTGATATAACTAGAAACTTTTCAAAATAAAAGTATAAGCATGAGATGCAAAGGACTACATACATTGCTGCTGAAAAGCTAGATGTCTTGGCAAGTCTGAAGACAACCCACTGCTTGGGTGAGGCTGCTTATTAGGTGGATGTATGTACAAACAAACAGGTTCTCTTTCCTTCCTTTTGTCCAGGAAGTTTTGTTCCCTTATTTTTCCTTTCAAGGGCAGCAGTTATTCTTCTTATCACAGCTTCATCCTGGAGTTCTTTCCTCATTGGTTCTTTCTGTTGGGGGGAAGGGAAATGTGCATGTGCAGTTGTGTATTTTTGTGTGTGAGAATGAGTGCCATATGCAGATGAGAATCAATTAGCTTTACAAATGACATATCTTATTTTACAGGCAATTAATTTTAATCAACACCGATTAACTCTCTTTTCTTCTGACCCCCGTTTTTGGAGCATGGGTTTCTGACTGATGTATTTATGCAGGCAAAAATGACACATCTGGGGGAAATGTCTAGGACCTGTTTCAGCTGGAGTTGGCAATGCTAGTTTGACAAGCTGGGCAGTGAATAGAACTTTTGAATTTACAATATTTTTTCTTTCTGTTCCTGTGGAAATCGGTAGAGTATCTTAAATTTAGAACATCTTCCTTTCAGATAAAAACACTACTTCATTTGCTAAATACTAGCAAAACGGATAGTAAGTAATTTGATCCTTTTTTGTTATCAATGTAAAACTTAATGTTCATGTTTACCTCTTGCTCAGTGAATGTTCAAAATTACGATGGGGCTGAAAAAGGAGATCTATGACTGGTCCTCAAACTTGCAGTGGTCCCATGGTCATGCTTCAAACTCTTGGTAACGAGTGCACACTTATGACAGGTATAGCACTCCACAGTCACATGATCCCCATTTATGACCTTCACAGCTGGCTTTTGAAAGTCAATGGTGAAGCCCTCAGGAAGTCACAAGTTGCAATCATGTAATATCAAATTCAGTGAGCGTGGCTGTTTCACTTAAATTCATTTAAATGAAATTGATATAACTCTGCAGTCATATGAAGTTTCCCCTTTCATCTTTGTTGCTTAGCAGTGACGTTGTAGTCGGTAAGTGAGGACTTCCTGTATTTTAAATTGTTTGCTTAGTTTATTTATGATTTGTACATTTCAAAATCCATACATAGTTCGTATGTACATACCTAAGCTGGCTTCTAGACCTCAAGGGTTTCTCATAGGTTTTCTGTGTCTCTGCACAGAATGAAACATTTGTCTCTGCACAGAATGAAACATTTGTCTTGACTGATGGATAAGTGATATGGCTCTTCATGCACTTAAATATAATGGCAATCTGGAAAGGCCCTCACAACATAGGAATTTCTCTGCTTCACTGCTTCAGTGATGTTTTGCACACATGTGCATACACACATAAAACACACAAATGTTTTATTGTAAATTTCCCTGATCTTGTTTTCTTTAAATCAAACACACTCACAGATATTTCTTAATCTTCTCAGTTTACCACTATTCCAGTAAGAAGTTCCTTATTGCCCCCAAAAACAATCAACCTCATATCTGATAGCATCTTAAAGTTGCATTGCTTGAATTGTTTTATTTCTGTTTCTTCAGTCTGTGGATCTTAACAGAATTTTGTAAAAATGTATGTGGTCCTTTTCTGTCTGTAGGTAATGGCTGTGACCAGTTGCTGAGACGGGTCTTTCACTGAAGGAATTTTTATTTTCCCAGTTGTATTCCCTAGATTTTATAACTGGGGAATAATATTTCTATTCCACCATAACTTGTTGATCTATACCAGTGGTTCTCAACCTTTTTAATGCCGCGACCCCAACCGGTCGTAAGTCGAGGACTAAACCGGTCGTAAGTCAAGGACTAAACCGGTCGTAAGTCGAGGACTACCCAGCCGGTCGTAAGTCAAGGACTTTCCCTGCCCGGGAGCGCCGTGCATGCATGGTTCCGCCCCCTGTGCCGGCCGAGGCGTAGCTGGCAAGCGGCAGAGACGGAACAGGCCGACCACCAGCTGGCCCAGCCCAAGGGAGGTAAGGCACCCGCTGGAAAAGGGGAAAAAAAATGGCGGACAAAAAAAATGGCAGACAGCCTTGCTTGGCGACCCCCGTGAAATGGTCGATCGACCCCAGATGGGGTCCCGACCCACAGGTTGAGAACCACTGATCTATACCATTGGGATAATTGCATAGGAAATAGTTAAATCTTTGCTGGGCCAGAAGATTAGGTAAAATGGTGTGACTTAAGGGTGCATGTAGTAGAAATGTGCTGTGTTTGCATAAGGTTTGAAGCATTTTTTTCCAAATCACTTTCAAAATATGCATTGCTAATAAGACTGTGCTGAAGAAACCCTTCCTTGGAGCTGGAGAGTAGTGCACCTCTAAGCCAATTTTAAGTATTTGATTTATGAAAAAGATAATAGCTTTGCAGGACCAATAGCTTTGCATCACATTGAAATGATGCTGATTATCTGCACATATTTCAGTGAATTTTCCACTAGCATGTAACACTGCAACTGATTTGATTGGCTTGGTGAATGCTCTCTGCTGTGAATTAAATATGTGGAATGTTACTGCGAGTGTTCTCTTGGACCTATTGGTAGGTTTCAGTATCATTCAGTGTGATATCCTTCCAAATGACTACTGCTGCTTCCTAGTTTGTATACAACTAACTCCCAATGACTTTGCCAAATTATGTTTAGAAGATGGTGAAGATCAATCTGAAACAAAGGCTGTTCATCTATAGTGACCCAATATTCTTCAGTATCTACCTGAAAGTGCTGAGCGTAGTCATATTGACAACACTTTACTTTCTTACCTCTGCAAAATAAGGAGCAGTACAGCAGTCAATTTGTTAAATAAGTTTGATAATTGCCTGGAAAGGTTAAATCCAGTAATCTAAAGATGTTTGTCAGCATTCATATTCTGATTGTGGTATCTATTAAAGAGTAGTTTCATTAGCTGGGGGTGCTTTTTAACCCCCAACTGTTCCTGAATTTGCTCTTTATAACGCTACTTTTGAAGAGGTTGCATTTGGTACAAAATATAACAACTAGACTATAGCTTGTGTGAGAATATAGGAATCATGAAGATTGTATTGAAATACTTGCAATAGTGGCCTATTGCTTATCAGGTGCAATTTAAGTTACCGTAATATTTATTTTTCATCAATCAGTTTACAGTCTAACTGGATGTTAAACCTTCTGGAAAGGTTATTTAGAAATGACTGCTATCAAAGGTCCATATTTCTGGCTCATAGCAGAGGACTTTATGTATAGGAATGCACT